TGTCCATCCTCTGCAGGGGAAGACTGGAAGGGAGGGGCTGCTGGGCGTGGCCCTGCATCCCCAGCAGGTAGGCTGTCTGCAGAGATGGCAGGTCAGAGACTGGGGAGAGCCTTCACCTGTTCGTACCTGCGGTGGGAGCCACAGGGAAAGGGAAGGTAGGTCTGGCTCCTGGGCTTCGGGAAGGCCGGAGAGGAGGGAACAGGTTCTGGCAGACCAGTGTGCCTTTCTGGGTATAGGGGCAGGAGGCCGGGGTGCTGGCAGGCACTGCTCTGGCCTTCACTGCCGCTTGAAATTGCCTTGTCGGAGGGGAATGTGCTGCTCAACAGGTTTGCAAGGAAGAGGCAGCGAAGAGTTCAGATGAGGCGCTGTGTCCAGGCTGCAGCCCCTGGCGTGACAGCTCTGTCTCCAGAGTCAGGAGACCTGGTTCGATTGCTGGCCTCAGGCCAGCTGCAGGCCTTGGTAGGAGCGATACCTCTCCCTCCTTTCACTCCCGTCTTTCATCACAAGCACACAGTAATAACTGCCCCCTCTCTGAGGGTGTGGGTACCGTGGTAATCTTACCTCTGGTCATGACCTGTGGATCAGGAACATGGATCCAGAAACTGTACTGAATAAACCTTTCACTTTCAGACTCTGCCAATTTTTTCTTTTCCCTCTATTTAAATCCCTAGCTCCTCGTGTATCCCGATGAAGTAATGTTGCACTAGGGATCCTGGCTTGATTTCCCTTCTCTGAACGAGGGGCAGAATGTGATCTGGGGGCAGGGCCACTTGCAGCGGAAGATGCCTCAGCTGGAGGGTTTGCTCTCAAGCGTGTCATTTAAGGAAAGAGGGATAGAAATAGACGATGGGGGGAAAAATGACATTTTATGTCACCTCATGAATTTTAATAACCTCAGTTTCTAATTGTACATATATTTGAATTATAACTTTGCTCTCCCAATTTAAGCAGTATGATTTTTCACAGTAGGAAAATAGGTAAAAAAGTGCAAGTTTGAAAAGGGTTGGCCGGTGCCGTGGCTCACTAGGCTAATCCTCTGCCTGCAGTGCTGGCACCACAGGTTCTAGTCCCAGTTGGGACTAGAACCATAGCTAGATTCTGTTCTGGTTGCTCCTCTTCCAGTCCAACTCTCTGCTGTGGCCCGGGAAGACAGTGGAGGATGGCCCAAGTGCTTGGGCCCTGCACCTGCATGGGAGACCAGGAAGAAGCACCTGGCTCCTGGCTTCGGATTGGCACAGCACGCTGGCCGTAGCGGCCATCTGGGGAGTGAACCAACGGAAGGAAGACCCTTCTTTCTCTCTCTCTCTCACTGTCTAACTCTGCCTGTCAAAAAAAAAAAAAAAAAAAAGGAAAAAAGAAAGAAAAGGGTTAACAAAATTGTTCCCTGCCAAAACGTTTACTCTGTAATTCTTTCAGAAGATTCTAGGTGGGTTGTGTAGTGTTTTGTTCAATGAGTGTGTGTGTGTATTTTCTTTTTTGTACTGCCATCATGATATCTCAATTCTAGTTTTTAGCTGGCTGTTAAATTGTTTCGTAGTTTCCAGATAAGCCTTTGAAAGCGTACTATTCAGAGCTGAATATGATATTTTCATATGCATTTTCATAATTCAGGTTAATTCTACTCTTATTTCTAACATATACTGCTTTTCTATTAAAGAAAAGAAAATAATTCCTTTTAAACAATTATTAGTGCAATCATTAGTGCTTGGAATGGAGTATTAACTAACATTTTTGATAAGTTTAGTTTATAGTAAACTTGTATTTACTTACAAAGATTAAGGAATGAGATAGGTCAGATTGGTTGGGTATTTGTAGAATTGCCACATACATCATACATAGGTTGGTAAGGTAAAAAAATTATATTTGCCACTAAAAGTATTCAAAACCAATTTAATGACAATAGCTGACCTTTGCTAAACACTTACTAAATGCCAGCATCTGTGTAATTAGCAATCTAAGAATGTTTGCATCAGATACAATAAAAGTATTAATCACATCTTTGAGATGAGGTAACCAAGGCTTAGAGAGTTTAAAACACTTGGCCCCGTCACATGGCTGTTAAAAGACAGAGCCACAGATGGCAAAGTTTAACTTAAAAATTCTAGTCCTTAGCAATTTTGCTAGCCTTTCCTCCAAAATGTGTAATTTTGGGCTGACCACTTGTCCCAGGAAGACCTTGTAGTAGCTGGAGTATTGGGTAGAGTTCTCAACAGTGTATTACTTTAGCAGTGGGCACAAAAGAGTCCTAGTCTGAGGGCTTCTCTGGAAAACCTTTCAGAACTTGAAGTTCAAGTTCAAAGGGATCCAATTAATTTACTGGTACCTTAACTGCAGCCAGCATATAGTACATCTTAGGGAAAAACAACGTAGCACCCAAAATATAAAATTCACAAGGTTTGACCTCTAATCAAAAATTCCCAATCATGCAAAGAAACAGGAGAATAGGATCTACAACTAGGAGTAAAATGAACCAATATAATCAGATCCAGGAATGACAGGAATAATAGACTTAGCAGACGGAGACATTAAAATCATTTTTATAAATGTGCTGTTTGTGTTCAAGAAAGTAGAGGAAAGTATGCATATTATAAAAAGAGAAAAGCCTCCCATGAAATCTTTTTTTTTTTTTTTTTGACAGGTAGAGTTATAGGCAGTGAGAGAGACAGAGAGAAAGGTCTTCCTTCCATTGGTTCACTCCCCAAATGGCTGCTATGGCCAGCGCTGTGCTGATCCAAAGCCAGGAGCAGGTGCTTCCTTCCTGGTCTCCCATGTGGGTGCAGGGCCCAGGCACTTGGGCCATCCTCCACTGCCCTCCCGGGCCACAGCAGAGAGCTGGACTGGAAGAGGAGCAATCGGGACTAGAACCCAGTGCCCATGTGGGATGCTGGCGCTGCAGGCAGAGGATTAACCAAGTGAGCCATGGCACCAGCCTCTCTCCCATGAAATCTCTAGAATTGAGAAACTACAGTATTTGAATTGTGAATCACAGTGTGAAGTCAGTAGCACATTAGATACTGCAGTAGAAAAGATCAGTACGTTTGCAGACTACCAATGGAAACTGTCCAAAAGGATGCATAGGAAAAAGAACCAATAGTAATTGAACTGGGCATTGATGATCTATGGGGAAGCAAAAAGCAGCCTACCTTAACTCTTATTGGGTCTCACAAATAAGGGAGAGGGTATGACATAAAAAGTATAAGAAAGAATGGTTGGGAAATTTTCAGATCGGATGGAATCTATATATTTATATACCCAGGAAGCTTAACAAACCCCAAGTAGAATAACTACTTTTTTTCAAAACCCACCAAGGCATATTACAATAAAATTACTGAAAACCAGTGATAAAGAAAAGACAAAAAAAAAAAAAAAGACAGACTACTTGAGAGAAATGAACAGCAAGCAGTCAGTAAACATGAAAATAGGTCAATTGAAATGATACAAGTTGATTTATAGAAAAAAGACGTATTGACCGTCCTTTTGTGATAGTCTTCCTAGATGTATTCCACTTCCCCAGGGCCCTGTGTGATGACAACAGTGGTCACTGGATTTACTCTCCTGCCTTGTACAATTAGAAAAGCAATAAAATAAAAGGTGGTGAACTTCACATTTTGGGCTGCTGGATTTTCTCCCCCTAAGACGTGGTGATGCTGGCTGCAGTGAAGGTGTGAGGAGTTACCTGGCTCCTTTTCCGGCGGGATTTGAAGTCCTGTCTGTGCTTTCCAGAGGAGCCTTTATACCAGGGCTGTTCTGGGCCCACTGCCAAGGCAGTGCACCTCTGAGAACGTCACCCAGTGCCCCGGGTAGCACAGGGTCTTTCTGCTCTGCCTGCTGGGGCGTGAACTATTCCCAGCCTTGTGTGAGCTTCCGGACCTTCCACTGAGCAGCGCTGCTTTCCCTGACCTTGGTTGGTAGTAGTTTTGTCTCATCCAGGCACAGGTTGGTCTGAGATTTAAAGGTGCCTTGTACAGACTTTACTGCTCGTGCTCCTTTCTCTCCCATCCTCCCCTCACACATTCCAGCTGGCTTGACCCGTGCTCTGACTATTTCTCCCCAACACAGCCACACACACCACTGGGCTCAGGTTGGGTCCCTGTTCTGCACTGTGGCCTGGGCAGGGCCTGTGGACAGTTAGCTGGAGCCATCCTAGGGCTCACCTCACTTGCTTCCTCTTCTCTTGGGAATCCTAAGCCTTTGCTACCTGTGGGGTCTGACAGCCTCTGTTCGTGGATTTGCTTGCCTTTCTAATTCAGCAAATTGGGAAGTAAATCCAGCGCGTGCTACTCCATTGTGAATGAAAGCCGAGGTCTGTAGTTTGCCTTTAAGTTCTGTATTCATACCAAGGACTTACTGAGTAACTTCAGATCTGTGCCATCCACACTCACACATCACTGAACGACAGGGCTACATGCTGAGAAATGCGTCGTCAGGCGATTTCATCGCCGTGTGAACATCATACAGTGGACTTACACACACCTAAATGGTGTAGCCTACAGAGGCTGTGCGGTACACCGTTAGTCCTGGGCTGCAGACCTGTTTTACATCTTACTGTGCTGAATGCCACAGGCCAGTAAAACACAATGGTGGCTATTTGTGGATCTAAACATAGAAAAGGTATGCTAGAAACTCCAGGTGATTGGAATTTGCCCTTGTTGTTGACCAGAACGGTTATGCGCTGCGTGACTCTGAATGGTGTTTCATTAAAAGAGCTGTGGTCCAGGGAATCAAGACCTAGGCCCTGATCCTTGCTTCAGCCATTGCGCTCCATGTTGCTTACAGCTGGACCTCTGTGGCCTTCTACCCAGCTGACTTAGGGCAGTTCATTTGATTCTTCAGTTTATTTCTTATTCATGGAAGGCGGGTTATGATGGTTCTTCATAACACACTGAAGTGACACAAAGCACAAACATGAGAAAATAACGTCAGTCGGCTTAGGTTGAAGTATCTTGAAACAGAAGCTCGCTTGTAGCCTAACAGTCTTTATGGTTTATGTTTACTCCTAGGCACCATACTGGACATACCTTATTTGTGCACTAGGACTCTTTATCTACCAGTCGCTGGATGCCATTGATGGGAAACAAGCCAGAAGAACTAATTCGTGTTCTCCTTTAGGAGAACTTTTTGACCATGGTTGTGACTCTCTTTCCACAGGTAAATTAATGGAGGTTTTTTTTTCCCCCTATAATGTTGTGTTCCTGTGTTGTTTGTTTGTTTGTTTGTTTTGTCTTGATGGCTTTAAAAACCTACAATTGAGCTGTTGGGTCAGTTTTTTGGGAACAGTTTTTGTACAATATTCAAGAATTCATTTTGTTAAGTGTTTCTTATTTTTATTTTTGAAAGTTTACTTATTTATTTGAATGTTGGAGTTACAGAGAGAGAGGGGGAGAGAGGGAGAGAGAGGAGGGAAAGAGAAAGGAAGAGAGAGGGAAAGAGAGGGAGGGGGGGGAGAGAGAGAGAGAGAGAGAGAGAGATATCTTTCATTCACTGATTCATTCCCCAAGTGGCCACAGTGGTTATTTTAATGACTCTTTTATATCACTTAAAACTGTGTTTCTAGGCCGGCGCTGCAGCTCAGTACGCTAATCCTCCACCTGCAGCGCTGGCACACCGGGTTGTAGTCCTGGTCGGGGCGCCGGATTCTGTCCCAGTTGCCACTCTTCCAGGCCAGCTCTCTGCTGTGGCCTGGGAAGGCAGTGGAGGATGGCCCAAGTGCTTGGGCCCTGCACCCCATGGGAGACCAGGATAAGCACCTGGCTCCTGCCATTGGATCAGCGCGGTGCGCTGGCTGCAGCGCGCTGGCTGCAGCGGCCATTGGAGGGTGAACCAACGGCAAAGGAAAACCTTTCTCTCCGTCTCTCTCTATCTCACTGTCCACTCTGCCTGTCAAAAAAAAAAAAAAAAAAAAAAAACCATTAAAAAAAAAAAAAACAACTCTGTGTTTCTAAACAGCACTGAGCAATTCTTTCATTAATTATTTAAAATTCTTACTGGTTCTTAAACCTTTCTGTTCCTTCAGTGTTTATGGCGGTTGGAGCCTCCATTGCTGTCCGCTTGGGCACTCACCCTGACTGGCTGTTTTTCTGCTCTTTTATTGGGATGTTCATGTTTTACTGTGCTCATTGGCAGACTTACGTTTCTGGCGTGTTGAGATTTGGAAAGTAAGTATGTTTCTTAAGTTGTACATTAAAAATACGGTTGAATTCATTTTCACAATCTCTTGTGCCATTTTTCTGTAAGGAAACAAAGCTCCAAGCAGTAATTTAAATATCTTTTTGTTTTTTTAATTGACACGTCCATAAATGCTGCACTTTAATGTCTTTTAGTATTCCATGTTGCAAATAGGTACCTTATTTGGTAATAATTTATCTGCCTCTGTCTTTCACTAGCCCAAGCTCATAGTAGACCATGGGAAAAGAAAAATGAGGGACCTGGAGAGTATAGAAAAGGACAGGCAGTTCTTAAGTGTGCAGTGTTTCGTTCACTTAGTAAAATACTGTGCATTGGAGTCCAAGGTCCTTGCGGTCAAATCTCCCTGTGCCCAACAAGGGGGCTGCGCTCCTGACCGCACTCACCACCACCGACCGGTAGTCAGGGCGCTCTCGGCTGTGGGAGACACACGGCGAGATAATGTGCAAGTGCCGGGAACCTGCTCGAGTTAAACGTGAAATCCCACCTGTGCCTCTGTGGTGCGCAGAGCAGGAACGCCCTGTCCTAGTCCCGTTTCCTCCCTGGCTCCCTCCCCGCCAGCTCCTTCAAGAACTCATTTCCAGCTTTGGCTTCCAGTGCCGACGGAGTCTTTTAAACTGCACTTTACTGTTGCCTAGGGGAAGCAGGAGCTCTTAAGGAAGATTAATGAGAGGAACAGCTCCACTCCATGCATGAGTTAGTGGGAGACAGGCGTCAGGGCGTTTTCCAGACTGATTCTAAGCTGTGGCCTCACCGCAGCCACCCCCTACGGGGCACTTCCGTGTTTCGGGCACGGTACTAAGAGCCTTACGGGCGTCACCTCGTATCTTCCTCGTATTAAGCCTGGAAGGTGGGCATTGCCTGCACTGTCCAAGTGAGGCAGTGCCGACATCCACTGCGCAGAGGCGGCCCTGTAGATTCCCTGCCAGTAAGAGGTAGGGCTAGGATTAACATCTAGGTCTGTTTGACTCCAAACTCCCTACTGTTATTGAGTGCCACTCAATACCTAGACTCAGCTAATACATCAGATGCCGTGGATGGATGCTCGGAAGGGCACAACACGCTTTCAAAACACAGGCTTGCAGTCCATTGCATTAAAGGGATGCGGTTGCCATGACGCTGCTGATGTAGTCGGCCCGTGGTGTAGGATGGCCTGCTTCAGCTTTCCAGAGTAAGGGGAAGGCAACGTAGGCGGAACTAGCTTAGGGAAACTTCTATGGAAACTATGATTCTTTGGTTCCTTATATACTAGTCCAGAACCCAGGGACCCAAAAGCCTTGCTAGAAATGCAAGGCAGCCACGTAAATTAAGAGTCTGCAGCTCTTTGTAGATACCCTGCAAGAGAAAAGCCGCTGTGCAAAGCCAAACGCGTTTTGATTTGCTGAACTCACTGTGGGAAACTGGAGTAATGATGCTGTGTCCGGGTTAATTGCCACTGTTGCTATTCCTTCATGACTAACACTTCACCTTTTTGGTTCCTGGCTTCTTTGAACATCTTTCTGAAATGAGTCCGTTTGTATTTCCGGCCTGGTGGTACATTTTGCGCTCATTTGCTCCTTATCAGGAACCCAGAACTGGGGATGCAGGGATGAGTCGCCTGTGGAGCGGAATCTGCCCGACAGGCTAGGGAAGATCTTTCTGGGCAGCAGCGAGAGGGGAAAGAACTCAGGACTTTAGGGAAATGGCGATTGGGGCGGAGCCCAGGGAGAGTGAACCCGAGCTCCCGCAGCGTCCCGGGGGCCAGCCATTTACACACTGACTCCGTGCCGCATCGATCCTAAGCAGTACGTTTTTGTTCACCTTGCCAAAGTGAAAATATCTCGGAGGACTGGGGGTAGGTTGATGCTCCTGCTTCCCAGAGCTACGAGAAGCGTCCATGTGTCGGCCCTCAGCCAAGGCCCTGCAGCTGCCTACAGACGGAGCCATGGCCAGTTGTCTGTGAGCTGGGCCAGATTTCTTGAAAGCCTGTCCGTATTTTAGTTTAATTTCTACAGTATTTGAGTGCAGATATATGCAACCAGACCAAACAATCTTGGAATGTACTGTGGAAATTTGTTTTGTGAGTACATTTCTGGTTTAAATCTTATTTATGTGCTTTCGCTCGTAATGAAACACTGAAGAAAAAGCCAGCCAAATGCATTTGTTTATTGGGCTGAAGAACCTGAGGTTTTACTACTATTACTGCCTTTTTTACAGTATTTTTTTCTACCCTTTAAAGCCATTTATATTATGTACTGGTCAGTAGTGATTCTGTCTTAAGTAGAACAGTGAAAAGTCCAGGCTCTGAAATCAGATTTAGTTATCTGATCGGAAATACTAATCTCATTTTCTTCAGTTGCTTCACCTGTAGAATGGGAATCTTCACAATTGTCTAAAAGGTTATTGTGAAGAATGAATGATAGTGTGTGCAGAGGGCTGAGTGCAGAATCTGGCACAACAGTACTCAGTAGTAAAGTTCTATTATTAGGCGATGCTGTTTTTGTTTTAATTCAGTTTCTTTTGTATGCTTACTTTCTCTCAAATGACAGTTAAAAAGTGGTATTTACTAAGGCAGATGTAGATATCTTACTTATCAATTGGTAGGTGTGTAAATAACAGATTCTTTAACAAAATAAGCATACAGAAGAAATGGAGTTAAAATAAATTTGAAGATAGGAAGTCAACATAATTTGTTGAGTGATTTTGTGGAATACCAATGCGAGAGTTAAACAATGAATTTGAATAAATATTTTTCTGATGCTTATTGAGCATCTATTGTCTCCCAGGCCCAGTTCTAAATATAAAAGTAATGAGTACACTAAACAGACAAACTCCCTGCCTCCAGAAGCAGAGTTTGCATTCTGATCTGGGGGCATGCAGTGAGAATGTTTACAGGCTAATCCAGCCAGTGATCAGCACTGTGTGTGAAGGACTTTAGCCCACTTAGAAGCTCCCAGGAAGCCTGTTCATGTTCCACGGGTGCTGGCAGAAGACACAAAGCTCCTGACCAGAGGAAAAGGATGCATTTATCACCCTGGGCAGCAGCACCAGCCAGAGGTTCCCTCCTTCACCCCTGCCAGCAGCCCCCGGAGTCCTGTCCCCACAGCTGGGCCTAGATGAACACCTGGACCTGCAGTGGGTTGTACATGGGAGAGGAGCAGTGAGGACTCTGACAGTTAGAAGCAAGCCTGCTTGTTGTCTCGGGGAGATGTGACCTCATCCTTGAAGGTCGCTCACTGTGAACATGAGCCAGATAAACGGCCCAGGTGAAGAGTATTCAGGCTCTTGATTGCTGGCACATCCTGCAGGAATCTGCTGGGATGCTCAGCTTGTGTAGCAAAGTTGCCTCTCTTAATTCAATGAAGAAAGAGTAAGCAGGGAAGAAAGAGTGATTTTTTTTTTCATTGTTAATTTAAAAGAAAAATCTCTTTGAAAAGAAAGAGAGAGGGAGAGAGAGTAAGAGCTAGAGAGAAAGAGAGTCTTCCATCTGCTGGCTCACTGTCCAGACTACAGCAGCCAGGACAATGAGGAGCCAGGGCTCAGTCTGGATCTCACACGTGAGTAGCAGGGAACCAACTACTTTAGCCATCACCTGCTCGCCCCCAGGATGTACATTAGCACATTGGCTTAGCCTTGGCGGCTGTCGGTATTTGGGGAGTGAACCAGTGGAAGGAAGGTCTCTCTCTCTTTCTGTCTCTCTTCTCTTTTTTTTCCCCCCAGAAAATTTTTATTTAAGGTATACAGACTTCATGCATTTCATAAATACAACTTTAGGAACACAGTGATTCTTCCCACCATACGCACCCTCCCACCCAAACTCCCACCCTCTTCCTCCTCCCTCTCCTATTGCCATTCTTATTTTATACTAAGTTCTATTTTCAGTTAACTTTATACACATAAGTCCTTCTTTCTTTGTCACTCTGCCTTTCAAATAAATACATTTTAATAAAAAACCAGTATGTGATATGAATTTTGCCTATGTGAAACCAGGTTTCTAGCTACATCTCCATATGTGTCATTTAGTTTCACCAGAGAAAGTTTGTTCCAAAATCCCTGCCTGCTTTCTGGCCACTTGTCACACCCTGTGAAAATTATGGATGACAGTGGAGTTCTGTCATTGTTACTGAGAGGAGAGGGTGACACTGGCCGTGAGTCCCAAGTGTAGTAGGAAGAGCGTTGGCTCTGAAGTCGTTCTCTTGTAGCAGTAGTCAGCTTGTTCTAATTCAGGCACTGAAAAGTCGTTTCAGTTTCCCTGTCCAAAAGCAAGAATAGCTTCTAGCTCACACGGTACATAAAGGAAGCTCAGTAGACATTAGTACTGCCCTCTTCATTTCTTCCACAAAGAACCATGTATTATCATAATTACCTTTTTTTTTTAAAGAATTATTTATTTATTTGAAGGCAGAGACAGACAAAGAGAGGGAGAGGTCTTCCATCCACTGGTTCACTCCCCAGATGGCTGCAACGGTTGGAGCTGCGCTGATCTAAAGCCAGGAGCCAGGAGCTTCTTCTGGGTGTCCCACACGGGTGCAGGAGCCAAAGCACGCAGGCCATCCTCCCTCCACTGCTTTCCCAGGCCATAGCAGAGCTGGAAGAGCTGGGACACCAACCGGCACCCGCATGGGATGCTGGCACTGCAGGCAGTGGCCTCAGCACCGGGCTCTCACAGTCACCTTTTACAACCCACTCGATCCCTTCTTCAGGCAGCTGGAAAGCCTTGCCTCTGCCCGCCGCCGACCTTATGAACACTAGATGTCAGTTGTTCATACTTGGACTTTTATGTGTAGGGGAAGGTTCAGTTCACCTCTTTCTTCTCACTGCCCCCAAAATAACTGGTCGAGAAGTCTTCCATTCCAAACCCAATTTTATTTTATCACTTAATCCCGACATTTCTTATATTTACAGAGCAAAATGTATTCTTCTGGGCATGTAAAGGCTCCACGGCATTCGAGTGGAATGTTAAGTTGGTAGACAGATATAAAAATCTGGAGTTGAGGAAAAAAATATGTCATTTGGAGATAGGGATTTAAAGGTCATTCGCTTATATATGGTAATCTTAATTGTGGGTGAACTTGTTCAGAGAATATGAAATTTCAGGTGGAATTCTAGAAGCTACTTAAAATATGGAGGAAGAAGCAGACTAGGATAGAGCAAGAGAAGAGCTCTAGCCAGATAGGAAAACCAGGAGAGAGCATGGAATTAATAAGAATATAGCAAAGCATTTCAGGAAAAAGGGAATGATCAGAATCTTAAAGAATTACACAAGATAATTACCGAAAAAGAGATCTCTTAGATTTAACAAATTGAAAGTCACTAAAAAATTTTAGTAATGGGACCAAAAGCCAGACTGCAGTGGGTCAAACAACAGATGCAAAGAGAGGAGAACATTACAGATGTAACTCAGCTTTCAGTTGGTCTCTTTATGGTGCAAAGGAGAAAGGGTTTTTGACAGCTTCAGGGGAATGTGGACTAGAGAGAGTGTTGGTTGGTAAGTGTTTTTTGAGAGAAAATTAAACATATTTCTGTATTAGAAGAATGTGGGAACAAAAAATTGTAGTGGCTGTCAGTAACTTAATAAGAAAGGCTGGCGGAATTCTCCCTACTTTTTAAGTGAAATCGGCATGAGAGTGTTTAAGAATGTGCCTGATATCACTTGTTCAGTTTTGTGTTATAATTCTTTCCCGATTTCTATGAGGAATGCATATTAGTAAAAGCTTCGAACTTCACAGAAGTGTATATACAGTAGGAAATAAGTCTTCGGCAGTCTCACTGATAACTATTAGAAGTCTGAACCAGGCTATACATCTTTCCCTCTGCATATATTAATATTTACCTGTGTGTGAGAGTATGTCCTGTAGCCTTTTTCACTTCACAGTGTGGTCAGTTGATAATTTAACGATGAAGGTAAAGGTAGAAAGAAGCTTACAGAGATTTTCACATTTTTGGTGTTTAAGTCTATGATCAACTAACCTTCGTCTTCAGGAATTTTGTTACAAACACCTTATCTCTTGTTTGTTCTTCCTCTTTAGAGTGGATGTAACGGAAATTCAGATAGCTTTAGTGATCATCTTTGTGTTGTCTACATTTGGAGGAGCGACAATGTGGGACTATACGGTAAATCTGAATATTTATATTTAAGTACTTTTTAAATGGTTAGGAAAAATATTACAGTCAAGTTTCTTTAGTCCTTGGTATTTAATACTCGTTCTATTTCTTAGCCTTTTTCTTTCATTTTATGCTATTAATATCCTATATACCTTATGCCATTTTCTCCTATACAAGAATACATTACCACATAGAAGTGAATGACTCTTATTCCTCTAAGACAAAACAAAAGCAAAAACAATACACATATTGGAATTACTTTTTCTAGGCCAAAATTATATAATAGATCTTTTGTAAACTATTTTATATATGAAACTTATTCCTCCATATTAGGAAAGAAAAGTGGCTAGTTTGCATTTTATAATTGTCTCAGGGTGAAGATTCTCATATTAAGGAGTAGCTCTCTTCTGCTTTGGTAGTTTTTGACCTCAGTGTTTTGATGAAAGTTGGATCTTAGGAGGCTACTCTCTTGAATTCAGGCTTTGAATAGGAAGAACATTTGTGAAGAATCAAATAATTCTGTCACCACGAAGTCCACAACACTGGCTGACAGACAACTTTGTGCTAAGTGTTAAGAAGATAATAGCCAATATAATTACCGTTCTTTCAACACTTATATATATATATATATATTTTTTTTTTTTTTTTTGACAGGCAAAGTGGACAGTGAGAGAGAGAGACAGAGAGAAAGGTCTTCCTTTGCCGTTGGTTCACCCTCCAATGGCCGGTGCGGCCCGCACGCTGTGGCCGGCGCACCGCGCTGATCCGATGGCAGGAGCCAGGTACTTCTCCTGGTCTCCCATGGGGTGCAGGGCCCAAGCACTTGGGCCATCCTCCACTGCACTCCCTGGCCACAGCAGAGAGCTGGCCTGGAAGAGGGGCAACCGGGACAGAATCCGGCACCCTGGCCGGGACTAGAACCCAGTGTGCCGGCGCTGCAAGGCAGAGGATTAGCCTAGTGAGCCGCGGTGCTGGCCTCAACACTTATTTTCCTAAACATTTTGCCATCAGTTTCATCTTCCTGTCAGAACAATTCTATGCAATAGAGACTATCATTTTCCTGTTTTGTAAACAAGTCTTAGAGTGATTAAGTGCAGGAGCTAGGGATTAAACAGACTGATTTCAGACTCTATGCATGTAATCACAAAGCTATACACCTCCAGTGAGAATAGTACGGGATACACAGCTAAACATACTCGAACTGTATGATCAGCAGTCCCACTCCTTGGTATTTACTCAGATGAACTGAATGTTTTTGTCCACATGAAAACTTGCACACAAATTTTTATAGCACCTTTATTCTTAGTTGTCAAAACTGGGAAGCAACCGACATGCACATCACTAGGTAAATGGCCAGACTGTGGTACATCTAGACAGTGGACTACCAATCAGAATTTAAAATAAAGTAGACTAGGAAGCCATGAATAGAAGCGGAGGAACTTTCAGTGCTTACTAAGAGCAAGAAGACAGTCTGGGAAGACTGCGTGCTGTATGCCTCTCGTGTATAACTGCCTCACAGTCTACAAAAGGCAAAACTATGGAGGCAGTAAAAAGGTCAGTGATTGCCAGGAGCTGGGAGAGGGAGAGAGGAATAGATAGAGCACAGAGAATGTTTAGGGCTATGGATTTCTTTTTTGGATACGTGTCATTATATATTGATCTTAACACACAGAATGTAGGACACTGAGAGGTGGAACCCTCCTATAAACTGTGAACTTAGCTTGATAGCGATGCATCAGTATAGGCTCATCAGTTGTAACAAATGTACCACTCTGGTGGGGGATGATGATAGTGGGCAAGGCTGGGGGGAGGAAGAAGGAAATATGTGGGAACTCTGCTTTCTGCTCAGCTTTGCTGTGAACATAAAACTGCCCTTAAAAAATAAAGTTTATTAAAAGCATAGTATAAGATTTCCTTGGCATTTAATATCAGAATTGCCAATTACCAGTAGGCTCAGAAATAGATTTGGAGCATATTCCTAAGTAGTGATGCATTAGGCGAGACATGCATAACCCTTCTTGTCATGTAACAACATAGCAAAATTAAGAATATATTACCATAGGTCCATACAATATACCAGAGAGATTCTACGTGTCTTCTATGGTAGCTGTTTTGCTAGTTCCCCTAAGATGCTAAATGTGGACCCAGAAGCAGTTGGGCAATACCAATGATGAAGTCAGGTGTGGTTGTCTTACATTTGGAATTGAATCTTCAAATTGTAAAGTTCAGTGTTTTGGCAGTATCATAGGAAGGAAGCACACTTGCTTATTTCACCAAAAAAAAAAAAACACAGCAATTTATTTTTTATGTAAGTTTCTAAATTCAGTTGTTAACCTGTAGTTTCCACAAATTGCAATACAATATTTCAAAGTCTATTTTCAAAACACAGTAGCCTGTAGCTTCTGGCAATTCATTGTTACTGTTTTTTAAATCCTTTGCTGCCTGTGGAAGTTTTCTTGAACAGCTATTGACCAACAGGTAAATATGTTGCTAGAGATTTAATCCTGGATATTAACCACACAACGTTTTTGCATGCCCACACATCATGATATTTGTCACATTTATGATGCAGATCATGGCGCCTGCCTCTCCTGGGATGCTGCCTCTGAAAGGCTACTGAATTCAAATGGACTATCCTTTTTCATGTTTAAGTCGGAGGAAAGCTTGTGAGATTAAATATTTAATAATGATTATATCAACAGATGGACATGACTTTGTGGATTCATTTTTCACTTAATAAATAAAGCAATTAAAAAAAAATTCCGGTTTGGCTACATTCCAGAAGTTAAGATTTGTTTACAAGAAAAAGGATAGCTTTTTTTTTTTTTTTTTAAGATTGATTAATTTATTTAAAAGTCAGATTTGCAGAGAGAGGGAGAAATAGATCTTCTATCCGCTGGTTCACTCCACAAATGACTGCAATGGCCAGGGCTGGCCAGGCTGAAGCCAGGAGCCGGGAGCTTCCTCCAGGTCTCCCATGTGGGTGCAGAGGCCCAAGAACCTGGGCTATCTTCCACTGCCTTCCTAGGTGCATTATTAGGCAACTGGATTGGAACTGGAGTGGCCAGGACTTGAACCAGTGTCCATATGGGATGCCAGCACTGCAGATGGCAGCTTAACCCACTGCACCACAGTGCTGGCCCTCAAGGATAGCTTATTGTATAGGGCCATATAATAGTGTTTCTGTATTATTTAATAGGGGAAAAATGCTGTTTTCTTAATGATTTGTTTCTTTCCTCTACCCCTAAAGATACCCATTCTAGAAATAAAACTGAAGATCCTTCCAGCTCTTGGAGTAGTAGGTGGAGCAATATTTTCCTGTTCAAATTACTTCCATGTTATCCTCCATGGTGGTGTTGGCAAGAATGGATCCACAATAGCAGTAAGGAATTGATTTCATCATCATTAATTTTTATGATACATTTTATCATCAGTTATAAAAATATACTTAAAATATGCCAAAGTTAAAGACTGAGAAAGGAAAGTAAATAAAGAATTCGTTTTAGGCACATAGTACAAAAGTCATTTTAAAAAGTTTAGACTGATAACAAATCATTTTTCCTCTTTCTACAGGCTTGCTCAGCGTAGACTTTTCTGGCATTTCATTTAATCATCCACTGTTTCATTACTGTACATAAGTAAGAGTTGCCATTTGTTCTCTTGCATCTCTCTCCTTGAAGTAATAGGGGAGAGGAGGAAAAGTAGGGAATGATTCCTGACTAGATGGCAGGAAAGCTGCCAAGGTCAGTGGTATCACCTTTGGGGCAATAAATTACTCGTAACATAAATTTTGCTGGGATTTCACTGACATATACTTAAAAGAACTATTCTAATATTTTTAAAGGTAAAAAATTTCACCTTCATTCTTGAATGTGGATATACTTTGTATTTGTGTTCCTTATAACTTAATCATGCTGTATTACTCTTATATTTATTCATATTTGTTTTTAAAAACTTCTTTAAGAAAGTAGAATTCCTACCAGTTCTTAAATGCGTAGCAGTCATGTTTCTTTTAAAAGCTTATTGTCCTCCTCTAGGCAGCTGAAGTTATGAAGATAAGTACTTATCCCCATGATGCAAAACATGAGAATGCCTTTTGTTAAGGATTTCTTTAAACCATAACACAGTCTCTTTAAATGTCTTTGGTTCCACAGTTCAACATTTCTATTTTTTATGGCTCAACTTGATTTTAGAAAACAGTCAAAATCATTTGGAGCCTGGTCGAATAAATACGAGGAGTAATAAGTGTGAGATACACCATTTTTATTTAAAAAGTTTCATTTGTTAAATGAAATTGTTCCTAAGACAATTTCAAAGCAGTCTCCATAATTCATAAATTATCCACCTTTGTGAATAAATTACATATGTATTTAATTTGAAAGAAAAATATAAAATTCATTTAGATATGTAAGTTCTGGTATATTTGGGAAAAAATGTCATTTCTTGAGATCTTTTGTCAGTTAATCTCTGTATCATATTTTGTGTATTAGGTGCTTAGGAATACATGTTGCTTGACCATGTATGATAAAATAGAGCAGTAGCTGAAATGTAATTTCCACTAAAGAAAATAAGCTTTAGCTTATCAATGTATACTTTAGAGAAAATTTACCAAGAAATAATTATTAAATGTTTAAAGGAAAACAGAAGAAATTGAACACAAGCTGGAAAGTGGTTAATTTCAGACTCCTAAACTGGCGTTTTATTCAGCTTTTTTAGCAGCATCTTTGTGTGTGAATGAAATCTAAGAACTATAATATATAAAAGGTTAAATAATATTTGTGTAAACCTTTATAATTTATTACCATATAATAGTGTTTTATTATAATTTTGTAATTTTATAGTAAATTCTAACCTAAAACATGCAAATTTTTTTGAGAGGCAAAGAAAAACAGAGGGCTTCCATCTGCCAGTTCACTCTCCAAATGCCTGCAACAGCTGGGTCTAGGCCAGGACCAGAGCCAGGGTCTGAGAATGCAATCAGATGTCCCATGTAGGTGGCGGGAGCCCAGCCAGGTGAACCCTCACAGCTGCGTCTCAGGGTCTGCATTGGCAGGAAGCTGGAGTCAGGGCTGAAGCTAGGAATAAAACCCAGGCACTCTGATGTGGGACATGGGTGTCTTTACTGCTAGGCTGAATGATGGCTTGCAAAATGGAAATATGATACTCCAGAGTAAGACTGTGCTAAAGAACACATTTAAATTGGTGTTTATAGATTTAGTAAGTCTTAATACATAATGTGTTTGAATATTTTATTTAGGATGGGCAGTGCTGAAAGAATCCTGATTCACATAAATAAACATGTAATGACTAGATCATAAAGTTTTACAACTAAAGGGAAATGTTGCTATAGAGAGAAACCACAGGAGAATTAAACTCCTCCTAATCATTGATTAAAATGTTTTATAGAATTGTGACAGGATAAGCTTTATTTCATTATATCTAAATCTTTGCACAAAAAAGATGCTCAGAAAGTTTGCATTGTAATAAATGCAGTATTAAAATGTGACGCTGTTTTTCTGCTTTATTCCTTAGGGCACAAGTGTCTTGTCACCTGGGCTCCACATAGGATTAATTATTATCCTGGCAATAATGATCTATAAAAAGTCAGCAACTAATGTGTTTGAAAAGCATCCTTGTCTTTATACCCTAATGTTTGGATGTGTCTTTGCTAAAGTCTCACAAAAATTAGTGGTAAGAAATTCTTCTGTGATTCTTCTGTAAATACTGTATTCAGTCTTCAGATGACAAAGATGGATGCTAATACAGGTTTTCTTCCATGGAGTCAGCATCACAATAAATGGCCATGTGCCCCAAGCCAAATTGATTTGTTACATCTAGTTCTTATTTTTCATGCTTAATCATATTAAGAATGTTTATCATGTTTAACTATCAATTAGAATTTTCTGCTGTCAAGGAATTTGAATACTGAAAATTTTAATTAGCTACCTAGTTATGAATTTGAGGTGTACGTAAGTTTTCCCTTATCAAATATATTAAATGGTCTCTGCCTTTAGTAGTGAATTAGTATAATGCTGTTTGAAAATAAAAGCAAAAACATTTAAAATTTAGTAGTGAAATTATTTTACTTCTTTTATAGATAGCTCACATGACCAAAAGTGAACTCTATCTTCAAGATACCATCTTTGCTGGGCCAGGTCTTTTGTTTTTAGACCAGTACTTTAATAATTTTGTAGATGAATATGTCATCCTATGGATAGCAATGGTAAGTAGTTTCTTGCTTTCTATTTAACCGATGTCAGATCAGGCTGTGTTTAACAAGCATTTCAGTGAGGTATCAGTAGCTTCAGTATCTATTACAGTAAATGTTTCTGAATATTTAAGATTATTTCTCCTAAGCATGATTCTTTTATATTACATGTAGAAGTGGCTGAGGTACCCCGAGGTCTGGCTTCTAGTAACGGATCCTTAGAAATACAATTGTATACCTAAAGATAACTATTCTGCCTTCCCCACCCCGCCACTGCCCCAAACTAATACAATCAAAAACCATTTCACCCTGCCCAAGGGACTTTCTGAGCTAATCAATATTTTTAGAATTAGTCACTGCTTTTAGTAGGTAGGTTGCAAGCAAATTAGATGGGATTAGTGCTAGCAAAGGTAAGCACTTATTGCGTCAAGAACTGACAGCTAATGTTAAGGAAACAAAACAGAATAGGTATAGTGGACATGACTAAGTACTTAATTCTGAGACCATTTTATACTAGAAGCAAGCAACCTTGTACATCTGTAAAGGCTATTAGTGCATAATTTGTATTAATAATGACTTAGTCCTCAGCAAAGGTTAATAAATTCTCATTATGTATTGCATATGAAAGAGATGTAAATAATACCTATATATTCAAAATGATTACAAAATTCAGAATATGGTGCTTATGAGAGACACTTTAGCCATTTGAGGAGAGATTTGTTGGTAACATTTCATCCACAAGACTGGATAAGTGGAAAATTATTAATTTCTTAAAAAAATAGTATTGAGGTGTATCTTTATGGCTGATCTTCAACTAATGGTGGTTTGGAACAGCTTTGCTATATTTTACCCCATCTCTGGACTTTGCCAGCCATCACCAAATCGTTATATAATCATACTGAGGTGCTTTTAAAGAAAAATGCTGCAATGAATCTTTTGATAGTTCAAATTATCTCACCCTATGTTACATTTAGATATTTTAAAAATTCTCTATTCTGTTCATGAATCACTGAGTTGCATCTAATGATCTTTCACTAGGCTGTACAATATTATACTTTTTCTAGGGTAATAATATTCACAGCCCATTCAGAAGTCTTCTACTCTTACTATGGTGATGAGACATAATTCTTAGTCCTTCAAGGTGGACAATGAAATTTTTCAGGCAATATTCTAAAAAGTGCTTGAATATCAGAATTTCCTTTAATTTTCTATCCACTATAAATGTTTTTAGGGTTTATAAACAATCAAGATTAAGAAATGAAAGTGATTATTAAATATATCTGAAAATTCAATCTACGAGTTTTCTTGTTTCTTTTTTGTTTAGTGAATTTGATTACATATTACTGAATGGAATTATTTAACATAATTAAAATATCAGGTGTTAAAAGCTCAAACATCAATTTTTTAATGAGTAATTGTCTTGGTTTATACCAGTGATGGTGAACTGAAGAGTCCAATTAAGTTTTTATTTTCATTTATTCATTTCATTTCATTTGAGAGGTAGAGAGGGAGGGAGAGGAAGAGAGAAGAGGTGTTTCATCAGCTGGTCCTTTCCCCAAATGCCTGCAACAGTCAGGGCTGAGACAGTTGGGAATCAAGGGCCCAGAACTCCATCTGGGCCTCCCCTCTGGGTGGCAGGAATCCAACTACTTGATATTGTCTGCTGCCTCCCAGGGTGTGCATTAGCAGGAAGCTAGATTGGAAGAACAGTAGCCAGAACTCAATATGGGATGTGGGCATCCCAAGGAGCAGATTCGCCACTGCACCAGAAACCCATATACAGTGTTTTGTAAAACACTGTATCAATTTTATAACCATTTAAAAAGACACACACGGCTGGCGCTACGGCTCACTAGGCTAATCCTCCGCCTTGCGGTGCCAGCACACCGGGTTCTAGTCCAGATCAGGGCGCCGGATTCTGTCCCAGTTGCCACTCTTCCAGGCCAGCTCTCTGCTGTGGCCAGGGAGTGCAGTGGAGGATGGCCCAAGTGCTTGGGTCCTGCACCCCATGGGAGACCAGGAGAAGTACCTGGCTCCTGCCATCGGATCAGCGCGGTGCGCCGGCCACGGCGGCCATTGGAGGGTGAACCAACGGCAAAGGAAGACCTTTCTCTCTGTCTCTCTCTCTCACTGTCCACTCTGCCTGTCAAAAAAAAAAAGACACACACACACACCAACGTGGGCCAAACTATATATATATACTAAATGGAATCTCTAGGAAAAAGCTTCCTGCTTCAAAGAGAAAAGGACTTGATAGAGCTTTCTAAGTAAAATGAGGGATTTCTCCCTCATGAGTGAGAATTTCCTCTTGAAGGGCATAGCTGTGAGGCTCCTTTTCCACCTTGCTTGTCTGAAGGGAAGCATCTGACTGTTCTCTGGGCAGTCTAGAGACCTTCCTGCTTTATTCCGTATAGAACACAATCTGGTACATGCTTCAGCTGTCATGTATTTTCCAGACTTACCTTTTTTAACCTCAAAGGACTAAGAAATACATACGATAGAATGGATTCATTATAAGGTCATGGCTGATAGCCCCTTGAAAGAGAAAATTAGTGGCTTCATTGCATAGCACAAAGTTGAGAAAGTAGAGGTAGAAGATGGATTTGGTGACCTTTGTAGTCTAGTCCTTTTAACTTCTATATGCCTGTTCCTACAACTGTGAAATACCCTGCATATTCCAGACGACTCTAGTGAGGTATGAATATGAAACATGAAAGTACTTTAAATTTAGTATTTTCAACTGAGAATGTTTAAGATTTGTAGGGAAACAGAAAAGTAGCTCCAGCTTCAGAAAAGATAGACCATAATCCATTTTATATTTTCTTTTTTTGCTTCTAAAGGTCATTTCTTCATTTGATATGATGATATACTTTAGTGCTTTGTGCCTGCAAATTTCAAGACACCTTCATCTAAATATCTTCAAGACTTCATGTCATCAAGCACCTGAACAGGTTTACAAGCATATTGACTGACTAATAGTCCAAGGAAAAGAGGAGAAGCAGTTAGGGGAACCTATGAGTGAAGGAAATCTCCCTATGCAGGAGGCTAGTATATGATCAAATAAGGATATATTTGAATATAAAATGTATATCCTGCAGTCCATTATGTCTATTTCTGTTGTGAAGCCCTTATTATATAGCAACGTTCTGATCACAGGTACTGTTAGAGTAATAAAGCAAAACCAAAAGAAGAAATTTCAATCCTAGGAATAAGAAACTAAATCCTGATATCAGTGTCTTTAGAACCTGTGAGAAATACTTATTTGATACTTGAGGTTTTTATTGCCAAAGGATTATATAAAAATTCAGAACTTAACCATCTTGAGGCTGATAGTTCCTTTGATTATTAAAGGTTCAAAGTGAGCTTATAATACCGCCTCAGAACATGACTTAATTGAGTCAAGTGACACTATTAAGAAATACACATATTTTTAATATTAGCCCCTTTCAAAAGAAGTATGTTAACTACTATGGTATATAAGGAAATACTTGCTTTAGTATATAAATTAGAATTTAAAAGGCCTATAGGATTTTTAAATAATTTGTATTTATAAAAGACATTTGTCATACCAGTCCAGAAAAACATAAAATCTTCACATTGAGAGTACTTTGGTTCTTGATATTCTGAGTTCAAATTTCACTGTCACAAAGAAATTGACAATGTTCCCTTTTATGAAAAATAAAACAATATCTAAAATAGTTGACATATAAGAATTAATAACTTGTGAAAACACTGAAAAAATATCTTCCCTTGAGAAATTTGCCAGTTACTTTAAGTATATATATTGACTTGTTTGAGGTGGTAAGAGGATACAATGTTATTTTAATAAGTATATAAGGTACTGATTTTTATCTTTCCATTCATATTTAGATTGGTCATTATGAATACTGTAACAGAGATCTCTGGTGATCCAAATTTTCAAACTGCCATATGACCCTATTTCTAATTTTATACAACACATCTGTAGACCACATGCCATATGATAACCAGGGAAATAAGAGTAATGTTATTATATCTGTCTTAAGCAAAAGAAAAAGCAGAAAAACTTATATGAAGTAAGCACACAAAAAAACACTTTGGGGTACTCATTTTGCCTCTGTTACTATTGGTAAAAGCTCTTAAACCTTAGAAGTTAACACAGAATTTTCCAATATTTACATTGGCAGAAAAGGAAAATCTTTTACAAAGCTTAGAAATTTAGGAAGTAAAGTGCCCTTGTAATGTCAAATATTTGTTGATGGTAGAGGATTAATTTATTTCTAAATTATCACAGTTTCAAAAAGGTTAAAGTGGGTTATAGATACCAAAATTTGAACTTCAAACATGGAAAAGCAGGAGGCAAATTCACTCCTCTTCTCCTAACAAGCATATTTTTTTATCCTTAATTATTCATGGGAAGCAATGTCAGAAAAAAAACAATACTAAGCTTAAGTGATTTATTTCAATCAAATGTTAAAACAATGTAATATCTCACAAATCAAATATCTCATGTATTTTTCTATGTAAAATGCACATTTTAAAAGGTATAAAATTAACTATAAGTTTACAAATGAATATAAATATCGTATTTCCATGTATTTATTAAGTTTTAAAGTTGAAGATACATTGTAGGTATTCTTTAAAGACAGATGTGAAGTAGTTAAACCACAGGTAATTGGGTGGGAGGGTGGGTATGGTGGGAAGAATCACTATATTCCTAAAGTTGTACTTATGAAATTTGTACTCATTAAATAAAAGGTTTTTTTGGGAAAAAAACCATAGGTAATTAAATAAGCTAATGATATGCTTTCAATCTTGCTAAATGACATTTTGATGTCTTTGTGGAAATGACATATTTAGAAATTCATGAATTAAAACTGATAACCTTATTTAATTGTCTTAATAGGCAGTTTATTCCAGAACACAAACTTCAGCTTCTGGCAGTATATTTTATAAGTCAATAGATTTTCTTTAGAAATATTTTCATCAGAATGTAACAATATATAGAAAAAGATGCACATGTAAAATAGATTTTGTATATATTTTTTTCCTTTAGGAAGAACAGTGTAACCTTCTGTCCTTTGCTTTCCACTTTTTGGGACTAATGCAGATACACAGAAACTAAAATCTAAATTTAAATCTTTATTGATAAAAGCTAACTAACAGATCTTAGAAAAATTCTGTACTATAACTAAAAGAGCTGAAGAAATTTTGATACATAACTATTTGGATTTTATTTGGAAGTTAACAGAAAGGAAGAAGGATTTTACACTTAACAGCTAATAATTAATGATGTTATTATCATTTAAACTAGAATTTATGAAAAAAATGCATCTTAATTAATCTTAAAATTGTATCATTTAGGTTCAAGTTCTTTCTTCAAAGAGTCATCAAAGTAACACGGATTGAAGAGACTGTCGAACACTTGCCATCTGTTGCTGCTGCTGTTTCATGAAAAGAGATTGTAAACATTTGTTTTTTAGTTAAGTGTTAACATATTTCAGCAAATAAAATATTTCAGTGCTTACATTAATCTTTTTTCTATTCTAAATGTGATTAAATCATGACTTACTGTCTCCATCATAATTTTTTTGTGCAACATGGCCATTTCTTTTTTAAGTTCAGTTTGTGCATTACTAAATTGATTTTCATGATCCTTCTCCAAGTCCTCCATACTCTAAAACATAAGAAGTTCATTTGCAAACCACAGCTTTTCATCTTAGGCTGTAACTTATTCAATTAATGTTTAAAAGTAACAACTTCTTAATATCCAAATGATGCTCATTTATTCCATATAAAAACAGCTAATATATGAAGACCAGAATACATAAAGGAATTAAAATATCAGACATTAATCATGTTATAGGAGCTACAAAAACAGTATATTTTGCTCAAAACAATGTGTTAATGACTGTTAAGGTCAAGATGAAACAAAAAAGATTGGGACTCATACAGAAATAAATACTATAATTTGGAAAGTTTTCCAAACATCAGATAATCTAATTGTAGTAATGGATGTGACATGAATTCACTAGAGAGAATAAAGTAATTTGTAGTAAGAGCTCATTTATCAATTATAAAGAACAAAAATATGTTTTAAATCTTTACTATTTATTCAAATAAATAGTTAGCTAGTGGATATTTTTAAAAGTACTATGTTAAGTGCTATGGAGAAATTTAAAAATAATACATGACTGTTCCCTTATTCCAATGAGAACATACAAACAAAACACAAAACTTCTTAAGAGCAATGAAAATAAAACTTGCTGTGACTATGTAAAAGAAAATGGGAATGAATTCCAATTTAGTTGGCAAAAGAGTAAAAAAAAAAAATTTTTTTTTTGACAGGCAGAGAGAAAGGTCTTCCTTTACCGTTGGTTCACTCTCCAATGGCCGCTGCGGCCGGCACACTGTGCTGATCCAAAGCCAGGAGCCAGGTGCTTCTCCTGGTCTCCCATGCGGGTGCAGGGCCCAAGCACTTGGGCCATCCTCCACTGCCTTCCTGGGCCACAGCAGAGAGCTGGACTAGAAGAGGGGCAACCAGGACAGAATCCGGCACCCTGACCGGGACTAGAACCTGGTGTGCCAGCACCACAGGCGGAGGATTAGCCTATTGAGCTGCGGCACCAGCCGAGAGTAAAATTTTAACAGTTAAAAAGGAGTTAAAAGTATTCTTGGGGAAGAGCATAAGCAAAAGCATGACAGTAAACGGTGTGAATTCAGAGAAAGTGATTATGTAGAAAGTTGAGAGTAATGGACTAGTAAATAAAGCTTAGTAAGGGGCTCATAATGGGGGGTATCTCAAACACCTAAGAATGGGAAGCTACTGACACTTTTTCAGAAGAAAGAGGTATGTTTTAGAAATACAATATGGTATTGTATTCTATTGGTTCTATTGTATTCTGTTGGTAGAAATACAATATGGTACCTATGAAAGATAGATTACAGAGTAATCAATTAAAGAGGTTTTTTAAGATTTATTTGAAAGGCAGAATGAAAGAAAAGGAGTAAGAGACAGAGATCAATCTTCCATCTGTTGATTCACTCCCCAAATGACCATCCTGGTTTCCCATATGGGTAGCAAGAGCCCAGATAGTTGTGCCACTCAGCTACTGCTTTCCCAGGCACATTAGCAAGAAGCTGGATCAGAAGCGGAGCACCCAGGACACAAACCAGCACTCGCTTATGGGATGTCGATTTTGCAATAGCCATTTGTCTTGCTGTGCCACAATGTTGGTCCCAAGAGTTTTAATAGTACAAAAAAAGAATGATGAGGTCCTGAATTATGGTAGTAGCAGTGGCAATTAAATAACAAGGGGTCAGCAGTGTGGCATAGTGTGTAAAGTCACCACCTGCAATGCCAACATTCCACATGTGTGCTGGTTCAAGTTCTGGCTTCTCCACTTCCGATCCAGCTCTCTGTTATGACCTGGGAAAACAGTAGAAGATGGTCCAAGTCCTTGGGTCCCTGCACCTTGTGGGAGACCTGAAAGAGGCTCCTGGCCTTGGATCAGTACAGCTCTGGCCGTTGCAGTCATTTGGGGAGTGAACCAAAGGATGGAAGACCTCTCTCTAACTGCCTTTCAAATAAATAAATCTTTAAAAAATTAAGAAATAAAGAACCACCACATAGGTCAAAATTACAGGCCTCAGTAATAATTAGGTGTTAATGTTATACTACAGTTCCTATTCTAAGTGTTAACATTTAAGAAATTTTTTCTAGTACTTTATGAAACATTCACAACAATTAGTAAATTATTCTCAGGGAGAATCAGAGCAAGCTAACAAGTTCTCTACACAGAAACACTTTTAAAAATCACTTTTTTGTTCATATATATTTATCTTAAAACTATTTTACCAGCTTACTTAGAGCATCTCAATTCATTTAGAAAAGTGTTATTTCAACATGTATTTGGACTAGAGTATCTCAAAGCACCCCTTCTACAATTAAAAAAGGAGATCTTTAATATTCCATTGATCTGATATGAATATTTACTAAAAACTAAGTATATTTCTACATAAAGAGGTCAGTGTTAGACTATTATTTGCTAGCAGGCATATATATCGGTAGGTAATTCTCAATCCACAAATGGTGACTCCTTAGCTGTCTCATAAATTGGCATATAAAGCCATTTTATAAAAGCAAATATACTATAAAATACTTTCAGTACATTAGAAAATGAATGAAATATTCAGTGATTTCATTGGGTACTTTGAAAAAATCATAGGATATAAAGACAAGTAAAAAACTACCTAGATATTATTTATAAACTTCTCAGTTAAAGAAAAACCACTAAAGTATTAATGAAGTATGGATCTGATGCACATTAAGTACATTTCCATGTAAAATTCCTCTGTTTACCATCTGTTTTGAATAGTTGCCCACAAAACTGTTAGAACCTAAGTAAAGATATTTATTAAAGTTAAATAAAAAATTCAAAATGGAAAGTAGTTTAAATTTTTTAATCTATAAGCAAAGCTTTCTTCCCAATTACTGGAAAAAAATTACCTGCTGGAAATACATTATATTTTATAAGAATGTACTGTGTCACCATATACCACAGACCTTTATTAACTGCTCATATAGCTGTCTAATTGTTTTCAGTCTCTGGCTCTGAAGATTTCTAGATTGTTGAAAAACCTTTTGTTGCTGTCGAAACAAATTCTACAAATACAAAAGAAAAAGTTATGTAATAACAATTTGGAAAAGATTTTAAATTTAGCAAAAATAATTCTGAACTTAAAAATAGTTTCAAAGTCAATACTATTAACATTTTATCTTAACTGTTAACGGCAAATTCAGATCATTTGTGTTCACCACTAATATGCAGTAATATATATATTTTTATTTATTTATTTATTTGACAGGCAGAGTTAGGCAGTGAGAGAGAAGGACAGAGAGAAAGGTCTTCCTTCCATTGGTTCACCCCCCAAAATGTCCGCTGCGGCCGGTGCGCTGCGCCAATCCAAAGCCAGGAGCCAGGTGCTTCCTCCTGGTCTCCCATGCAGGTGCAGGGCTTAAGCACTTGGGCCATCCTCCACTGCCTTCCCGGGCCACAGCAGAGAGCTGGAATGGAAGACAGGCAACCAGGATAGAATCCAGCACCTCAACCAGGACTAGAACCCGGGGTGCCAGCGCCGCAGGCAGAGAATTAGCCAAGTGAGCCATGGCGCAGGCCAATATGCAATGATATATTAATCCTCTAAGTCCTGAGTAGAAAATATTTTTGTCTTTTCAAAATTTTTTTTATTATTTTTAAGACTTATTTGTTTATTTGAAAGGCAGAGTTACAGAGAGGCAGAAGCAGAGAGAGAGAGAGAGAGAGAGAGAGAGAGAGGTCTTCCATCCATTGCTTCACCCCCCAGATGGCAGCAACAATTGGAGCTGTACCCATCCGAGCCAGAAGCCAGGAGCTTCATCCTCCACTGCTTTCCCAGGCCACAGCAGAGAGCTGGATTGGAAGTGGAGCAGCCGGGACTCAAACCAGCGCCCATACGGGATGCCAGCACTACAGGCAGTGGCCTTATCCGATACACCACAGCGCCAGCCCCACTAAGTAGGAAATCTTAAGATAAATCTTGGTAATTTGACTATCCACCAGATGGTCTTTCAAGTAATGAGTGTCTTTTCATGCCTTGACCTGTTTTCCAGCAATTTTTTTTCTTCTACCCTACTTCAGCCATATGCTTACATACCCATAATCTAGATTTTGCCATTTCCAATAATTTTTACCTCTATAAAGTATTGAAATGCCTAATATATTAACTATGTGTTAGATATTACTCTAAATCCTTTGTTGTTTTTTTTTTTTTTGAAGATTATTTATTTGAAAGTTAGTTATACATGGAGAGAAGCAGAGGGAGGGTGGGGGGGTCTTCCATCCACTGGTTCACTCCCCAGTTGGCCACAATGGCTGGAGCTGCGCCAATCCAAAGCCTGGAGCCAGGAGCTTCATTTGGGTCTCCCATGTGGGTGCAGGGGCCCAAGGACTTGGACTCTCCTCTACTGCTTTCTGAGGCCTTAGCAGAGAGCTGGATTGGAAGTGGAGCAGCTGGGACTCCGTAGCCCATATGGGATACCAGCACCACAGGCAGCAGCTTCATCTGCTATACCACGCGCCTGGCTTCTATAGCTTTTCTGAAGGTGACTGATATGTGAATTGCTGTTCAAATTGGTGTCTTGCAGAGAGACAATATACTTTCCCCAAAATGTGTTCTGTAGAATATCAGTCCCAGTCATTGTACACAAACTGCAGTTTCCTTTGCTCTCTATCCTCCTTTTAGGTTTGGTTTAAAAGGAGAGTGGTAGGAGAGAATGGAGACCAGCAAGAGATCAGATAGGGAAATAAGGCTTAGAATTTAGTTTTTTTTTTTTTTTTTTTTAAGGGAAAGGGTTTACTGGGGAAACCCAGCAGGCCAGAGGGAAGGGGCGAGGAAGGAAAAAGAGAGAAGGAGAGTGTAACAGAGAGAAGGAAAGAGAGAGAGAGAGAGAGAGAGGAGCTAGTGAGGAGAGAAGAGCTCTAAATCCTTTTAAATAAACTTATAATGAACTCATTTAATCCCCCAAACAACTCTATGAAATAGGTATTCATTATACCCTTTCATAGATGAGGTACTAATTTGAATAATTTGTCCAGTTCATGGCCAACAATTGCTGAAGCCACAATTTGATCCCAAAGAGTAGTGCAACTCAGGTTTAACATTTCCAAAACAAAGCTGATCGACCTCCCCCTCCCCCAATTATTTGAACAGTAGCTCAGCTCTTAGATAAAAAATGTTTGATAATGATAAACAATAAAAGGATGAAGTAAAAGGTAGTTACCCAATATGAGTGGAGCAGAATTCCACCTCCCATAGGTTTAGACATGCAACACAAGTCTGGCTATTAAAAGTAATCCATATCCTGATGACTGGTTCAGGAATAAGTCTAGGAGTGTAAGAACTATTTTGCTTACTACACTGAGAGAGCCTACCAAGAACTAGCAACAGCTCAGATACTACATGAACAATCCCTCCCTATCCTTATCCAGCTGTACCACCCCGATTTCATTTATATAAACCAGTAATCCTTTTATACTTGGACAAATTTCTGTCACTTGGAACCAAAAGATCCCGATCAGTATAAAGTTCAATGGCTTTTGAGTATGGCATGTGCCCATACTAAAACACATAGCCAACAACGGATCATAGGATCTGGCTTAGTTCCAGCCCTAACACAAGGTTAGACTCTCCATTCCTATTTAACACTTGGTTATAATAGATTAATTACAAAACTAATCATGATACCAACAGTTAGTTTTTCTTCTTGTTCCCCAGATTGCTGCAGATCTAAATCCCACTCCTCAAACAAAGTTAGAAACTGCTGAGAAAATTCTTGGTGAAGCTTCTGCCTGTAAAACACAGAAGTGATTATTGTCATATTTCATATCAAACATTTATAGTAAGGAAATAACAGCAGCTTAAATATTCTGATGGAAACCAGCTGATTTCAGAAGTATATTTTTTCCCCAAACAACCTAACAGAAAAGCCTTCTCTCATGCTTTAGCTTTTGAAAACTAAAGAAGTTTTATTGTATAAATAAGTTCAGAAAAACTCTATGTCCAAGTAGTTCATTTTTTTCCTTCTGAATATAGGCTCTGATACAATTAATATACTAAGTGACTTTTTTTTTTTTTTTTTTTGACAGGCAGAGTTAGACAGTGAGACAGAGAGACAGACAGAAAGGTTTTCCTTCTGTTGTTTTACCCCCCAAATGGCCGTTACGGCCAGTGTGCTGCACCGATCCGAAGCCAGGAGCCAGGTGTTGCACCGATCCGAAGCCAGGAGCCAGGTGTTTCCTCCTGGTCTCCCATGTGGGTGCAAGGCCCAAGCACTTGGGCCATCCTCCACTGCATTCCTGGGCCACAGCAGAGAGCTGGACTGGAAGAGGAGCAACCGGGACAGAACCCGGTGCCCCAACCAGGACTAGAACCCGGGGTGCCGGCACCGCAGGCAGAGGATTAGCCTAGTGAGCCGCGGCGCCGGCCATAAGAGACATTATTATATATATCCTATATAGTAAAAATATCTAAGTTAATTTTTCCCCATTTTGGTACAACAAAGATTTTGTACAAATGAACAATTAAAACAATTTTTTTACAATGTAAGACTAGTGTTTTTCCACATTGTTTAACATAGTTAACCATCAGATGGTTTCTATGATATTTACCCTTTATTCAACCAGTGTAGTTTGAGAATTACTCTTTTATAGTAAAATAATCCAATTGTTATTTAAAAAGAAAAAAAGACTTTATTTACTTTTAAGAAATATATATTTTACTTCTAAGAAAGAGAGGTTATGGGACTAAAAGGTTTATATGTGCAGAGAAATGTCATATATACTTTCACTAGGAATTCCAATAAATAGAAGGTGAAATTTATAGTAAGTAATTTGCTCTAATTATTGCTCAATAAATACTAAGAAATGATACAAATGTTATAGCTCTTAAAAAGACCAACAATCTTACCTTTGCTCTTGTTGTATTCTCCAAAAATGTTCAATCAACTGATTACTGCTTTTGAAACAAGACTTGGAATAAATTTCAAGTCTTCTTTTCTTGGCAAGAAGAGCCTTGTGAATGTCAGCTACATGGAACAAATATCCATTAAAACCCAATATTAAGGAAAATTATTTTGACATATTCAAGTAAATATGTGTGAAGTTGATTTGAAAATATCAGAAAGATATTTAAAATTGAATTTAAAAATAGGCATAATTTTAAATACAGGATTATTTCCCCCCTCCTTTTTTTATTTTGAAAAAACTTTCAGTTATTAGTACTGAGTGAGCATCCCTAATCCAAAGTCCCAAATGCTGCAAAATTTGGAACTTTTGAGCTCTGAAATACTCAAAAAGTTTCAAATTTGGGGCACTACAGACTTGGGGTTCTTGTACTAGTGCTTCTCAACCAGTATAGTCTTTGCAAATATTCCAAATCCAAAAATGTCTGAAATCTGAAACACTTCTGATCCTCAGCATTTACTCAACCTATATACTAATTCTGATTTTCCTAACTGAAGATCATTTTTTTTTAATTTAGGGGTGGTGAAGATTGTCAGTAAACACTGAAATATTCAAGGCATTCTTCATGAGAAAGCTAATAAAGCCTAATTTTTCTAAATTTATATAACACCTTCCAATTGATTCACTTAGCAAAATTGTTAAAACCTATTATATATTTAACAGAAAAAAGTACTCTTCCCAAAAAGGTTAAATCCAAGAATAAGAATTATTTTTTAGGTGGCTAGTGCTGTGGTGTAGTAGGCTAAGCTTCCACCTGAGGTGCCAGCATCCCATTAGGGTGCTGGTTCATTTCCCAGCTGCTCCTCTTATGGTCTAGCTCTCTGCTATGGTCTGGGAATTCCAGCTTACTGGGAATGCAACAGCAGATAGCCCAAGTGCTTAGGCCCCTGCACACATGTGGGAGACCTGGAAGAATCTCTTGGCTTCAGATTGGCTCAGCTCCAGCCATTGTAGCCATTTAGGGGAGTGAATCAATGGATGGAAGACCTTTTTCTCCGTCTCTGCCTCTGTCTGTAACTCTGCTTCTAAAATAAAAAAAAATAATTTAAAAAAAGGAATTATTTTTAAACATATAAAAGTTTTATTATTTTTTATTTATTTGAAAGGCAGGGAGAGAGACTGATTTTCCATACACTAGTTCACTATTCAAATGATCACAACAGTTGGGGCTGGGCCAGGCCAAAGCCAGAAGTCCTAATTCCATCTCTCTTGTGGTGTCAGAGAACCAACTCCATGAGCCATCATCTGCTACCTCCCCAACTGTGTATTAGCAGGAAGCTGGATCAGAAGTGGGGTAGCCAGGACTTGAACCAGGCACTTTGATACAGGATGTCTGGCATCCCGAGTGGAGACTTAACTGATGTGCCAAATGCCTATCCCAGTTAGATACTTCTAAATATGTTTTTATTAAAATGGCAAGACAAAGACCAATGATATACAAATCTTAGTTTTAATAAATACCTAGAGACATTCAAGAACATTTTAAAATGTGGATATTTTTACTGCTAAGTACCTCATTTCATAAAATCTGATACTTCAAATATGCTTTGCTCAATTTGTTTATGCTTTGGATTTACCATAGCTTTCTTTCAGTAATCATGATGGAGCTATATATATATTTTACATTTTCAATATAATGAATTTTCTGAGTTTATAAAGCAAGTACATTGCTATCCCCAAATACACACTTTTTTAAAGATTATTTATTTGAAAGGCAGATTTACAGAGAGGCAGAGGCAGAAGCGCAGAGAAAAAGAGAAAGAGAAAGAGACAGAGTGAAAGAGAGGTCTTCCATCTGCTGGTTCACTCCCCAAATGGCCACAATGGCCAGAGCTGCGCTGATCCGAAGCCAGGAGCCAGGAGCCAGAAGCAAGGAGCTTCTTCCAGGTCTCCCACGTGGGTGCAGGGGCCCAAGGACTTGTGCCATCTTCTACTGCTTTCCCAGTCATAGCAGAGAGCTGGATTAGAAGTGGAGCAGCAGGAACTCAAACCAGCGCCTATATGGATGCCAGCACTGCAGGCGGCAGCTTTATACACTATGCACAGCACCAGCCCCCATATTTCAAGAAAGCCTTGTAGTGACTTTTTTTAAGTATCATCCTCCAGCAAAGTTCACATAAGTGGTATTTAACAGTGTAAGGGGGTGAGTGTTTGGCACAGCAGTTAAAATGTCACTTGGGATGCCTGCAATTCTTATTGGAGTGCCTGAGTTTGAGTCCAACCTCTACTTCCAATTCCAGCTTACTGCTAGGAGGTAGCAGGTGACGGTTCAGGTAATCTGGGTCCCTGACACCCATGTGGAAGACCCTGCCCGAGTTTCCTGGTTCCTAACTTTGTCCTTACCCAGCTCTCCCTGTTGTAGGCATTTGGGGAATAGCTTAGCAGATAGAACATTTCTGTCTTGCTATCTTCCTTTCAAATAAAAATAAATTCATAAATGAAAAATGTAAAAGCATTAAGTATTTTTGGACTTGATTATAAATATCTATCTGGCTAGCAAAGTTGTTCTTAGTTTAGTTTCCTTTTTTTTAAAAAAAAGATTTATTTATTTATTTGAAAGAGTTACAGAGAGAGAGGAGGCAGAGAGAGATATATCTTCCATCTGCTGTTTTACTCCCCAAATGGCTGCAATGGTTGGGGCTGGGCCAGGACAAAGCCAGGAGTCAGAGCTTCCTCCAGGTCTCTGGGTGCAGAGGCCCAAGGACTTGAGCCATCCTCAACTGCTTTCCCCAGCACAACAGGAGGGAGCTGGATCGAAAGTGGAGCAGCCAAGACTCAACCTGGTGCCCATATGGAATGCTGGCACTGCAGATGGCAGCGCCTGTTCTTAGTTTTCAATCGCATAGCTTATTAATGTGAAAATAAGAGTTAAATTACAGGTTGCGGTTTACAGCCCTCCCTAAAGAACGCAGGAAAAATCATAGGAAGTAACTAAATAAAGGAAAAACTGAAATATATACAGATATGTATGTAACACTTAGTCCATTAAATTCACACATGTATAAAAGCACTGTTGTTTTTCACATCATGGAAAAGGTAAGGAAATCTATGATGCTAAATCACAATTACTTATGCAAAATTCTATATGAGAACAAGGCACTAAATAACAGTCATATACTCTAACATTTCTTACTATACAAGTTATGATATGATTTAGAATTTTCTTTAAATAAAAATCTAATAAAAATACCTCCAAATCGTTCCAGCATACTGTGTACTTCACCTCTGTGAGAAAATAACATTTAAAAAAATGTTTAATTAAGGATCGACAAAATATCATGCCCATTCGGGAAGATACATGTCAAGTATTTTACACATAATACTTGCAAGACAAAGTAAACTTTTCTTGAAGTATTTTACCAAACAAAAGTTATTCTGAATATGTTACCCCACATCTTCAAATAGTCTTGAAGATCTTTTCTTCCCACGTTTATCAATTACTGGAGTCTTTCCTGTATTGACAATAAAAGAAAGAAAAACATTTTTGAAATTAAGTGTGGTTTTCATTTTAATAAATTAGTATCTTTACTTGGGTATCTTTTGGGCCTTTGAAGTTTTTAAGTAGACACATAAATGTAATGCTTTTTCTAGGTTGGGTGAAATTAAATCAGGATTCAGGGCCACGTAAGCTTCTAAAACTCTGATAACATGTACCACAGTCAAAAGTTCATGAAACATGAATGTCTTCATTATAGTTTCAAATGCAGGTTCCAAACAAATGCACTGCAGGCCACCATCACTGCACACTAGATTTACAGTACCTTCCAAAATATCCTCCTCTGACTCGCTGAAGTCTTTTTTAGTTTGTTTCCGGATATTATAGGCTCCTTTAGGATCATCCATTGATACCTTTCGTAACTTTCCAGAATATTTTCTGCCAGAGGGTGCCATATTTAGATGTTCTCAAAAAAAAAAAAAAAAAAAAGTTAAAAACCTCTCAAACCTGAATCAAAAACATCATTTAAATCAATATGATAAAAGTTAAAAATAAAATAGCAAATACAATTACCTTAGTTAAAATTTAAGCAGTAGCCTAATTTCTTTTATTGGATCAAAAAGTCAAAAAAAGAAGATACAGACATCTGTAGAAAGAAAAGACAGAGAGATGAGAAAGAGAGATGAGAAAGAAAGAAGAAAGAGATTTGAAAGAAAAACAGAAAAAAAAAAAAAAACAGAAAAAGAGGAAGGGGGAAAGAAAGGAAGAAAAGAGGGAAAGAGAAAGAAAAAGGTTTGAAAGAAAAAAAGAGAAAAAGACTAAAAGCAAGAGGGAAAGACAAAAAAGAAGAAAGAGGAGGGAAAAAAAGGGAAAGAAGGGAAAGGGAAGGGGCCAGACAAGAAACAGGAGGCAAGCGCATGCGCGCCACGCGGGGCTGCAGGCGCGCTCGCACCGAGCCCGGGGCAGTGCACCCGCAGGGCCGCGGTGTTTAGTCGGTCCCTGTCAGAATCCGGCTGAACCTGCGCAAAGTCCAGCTGCCTCTCCGGCCCACGGGGAGATCACGGCTGAGCACCTGGCCCGCCGAGGGTGCAAAACTCAGTTCCCAGCAACACAAATGAAACAGACATTAACAATACGATAAACGAAGGCCAAAAACGGGCTGCAGTCCGGGCCTTGGGAAATGGACATCCTTGTAAGATTTCCACAACATACAGAACGAGGAAAAACAAAGCCGCGTCCCCAGCTCATCGGTTTGTTCTTTTGGGAGTTTGGGGGCAGCTAAGAGGGAAAGATGTGCCCGATCCCGTGCCTCGAAGCCCCTCCGGACACGGGCATGGGGCCCAGGGACAGTTCAGCCCACCTTCTTTCCTCCTGTCCCTTGCCTGCGGATGTCCCGGCCTAAAGGAGTAGGTCCGCTACCGCCATTTTCCTGTCAGAGCCCCAGAGCTGTCACCAGGCCCCACTCCCGCGCTGGACGAACTCCTCCCCCATTCACGACTGAAAGATTCCTCAGTGGTGATGACCAGCTAACGGTCTCCCGAGGGTCGAGGGCCGCACCTCACAGCTCCTCCCCCGCTCCGCTCCTCACCTGCGGAGTCGATGCTTCGCTGCCTCGAGGCCTCTGAGGTAAGTGGTGATTCCCGCGGGGGAAAACCCAGCCCGGCCTCAGCCAGGCGCGTCCCTGATTGGCTGGAAGCCAACGCGCATGCTTACTGGAGAGCAGAGTCTCCGCCCCCAAGTCAGACTGCTAAATAAAAACGTTGGGTGCTATTTTTAGGCAACCGCCAGCGGTATGTGGGTGTGAGGTGTGCTGTTTTCTGTTTTCAAGTTTAAATTTTTTTTTTTAGTATTTGAAAACCCACAAAAAGATTATGTAAATCACAAAACATGATTAATACACCACCTAATTGTGAAGTAGAATTTTACTAATATTTGCTGAATCTCCTCAGGACATTTTGCCCCCACCCTCCCTTCAGCCCGGCTTCCCGCCCTCCCTGTTCAGAAATTTTAGCTTGAATTTTGTAAATGATCACTACCATATAGATAGGCGCCCTTAAGCAACACGCTTTACCTTTGTGTTTGCGCATTACAGAAAACTGTACCATAATCTATACAGTATTCTGCCGGCCGCTTTACTCCACGGTTCTGTCACCGAGAGAATATTCCGACACGTACCTAGGGTTCTTTCACTTTCATAACTGAATAATATCCGTTGTAAGTCTATTCCTCAATGTTTTCATTGGTTGTCTCGCCTACAAACATCTGGGTTATTTCCAGATTGGGATATAGAAACAATGTTGCTATAACTAGTCTAGTCTTTTACGTGTTTTCACGAAGTATCTAAGTGTTAAGGTGTCAGGCAGTAGGCTGTGATAATCAGCAGTGCCAAGCTGTTTTCCAATTACACCAACACCAGCCGAATGAGTTCCCTCTGTTGCATGTATTAATCGTACCTTGGTACTGTCACACTTCTTAATTTGCCATTATAGTGGGTGTAAAACATTTCTTTGAGATCCTTTGTATTTCTCTAATCATTAAAAAGTAATCTCTTTTACACAGCCAGATGCTTGCTTTTTCGTATCCTTAAAACGTCTATTTGGGTTTCTTGTTCATTTTTCAATGGTTGTTTTGTTTCTTATTGACTTGTAGTCTTTATATATGTTGAATGTTAATCTCCATGTCTGTTGTTCTGTGTGTTTTTGAAGGAATTTAATCTTTAACCTGAAATCACAAAAATATTCTCCTATCGCTTTATATAGATCTTAAGGTCTTACTTTACAAAGTCTTCCCTCATCACGAATTAATTTTTGTGCTTGGTATCATATAGGGATCTAATTACACTTTCTCCCTTAATGTGGAAATCCCACCTTCATTCCGTGGGTTGTGAATGCTTTCTCTATAATAGCTATGTCACTTGTCAAATTTCCATTTGTTCTTGGGTCTGCTGCTTTAGCGTGTTCCGCTACTCAGTTTGCCTAACCACAGTTTTGATCACTCCAGCTTTATTAAAGTTTTGGTAATGACGACAAGTCTCGCATTTTATTTTTCCTCACCAGTTTCCTTAGCATTCTTGAACTAGAGTTTCTATAGGAATAACGATGCCTGTGTAGGTTTTTGGTAGTTGCCCTGCTTGAAACTTACCTTCTATTATTAGTTTGTTAAGTCTTTTGTTTTGTTTGCTTTGCCTTATTTAAGTCATGAATATTGCAATTTATTAAATTCTGTATTCAAATGATCATTTGCTTCTTTCCTTGTTAGTGCGGTAAATAAGATTTATAGTTTTAAAATGTTAGCTCAGACAACATTCCTGTGATAAACTTCAGTTGATCAACCTTAATTTTTTAGGATACTGCTGGTTCGCTTAGCGTTTTTCAACCATTTTCAAGACTGAGACTGGCCTGTTTCTCTTTTTATCCTTGTTACGTAACCAAAATAAATTTGCCCTGTACCAGCCGCCATACTTCCTGTTTGGCCCAAATATCTATATGGGCAAATAGAGTGAACTGCAACCTAGCTTGATTTGTAAGCGTGCTATAACCTAACCTAAGAATACAGCTTGTAACCAAGCAACTGAGTCGCAGCCAATCATCACAGCTAAATATCCAGCCAATCAGAAGCCAAAGGCTGCCAAATCATGCCCAAATAAGGTAAACGCCGCCCTGCCCCCACCAGGCAGCTTTCTATGTCATTTCCAGTCTGTGAATAGAGTTACGTTCTGAACCCTCTTTGGTCAGGGGTCCAGTGTGACTCTAAAACATTTTTCTTGCTCCAATTAACTTTGTTACACTGACCGTTACCATTATCTAACTTGGAATTAAGGTGACGCTGCCCCCTTCCCTCAAGTCCGCGCGGACGCCATTATTCACCCCATCGAGGCTTTCCCTATCCCAGTCTGGAATTGTAGTTAAAAATTCTGTACCTTATTTATTTTTCCGTATTCCCTTTCCCAGTGCATTCCTTTGGCCTGTATGTCTACTCCTGCACTGTGGTACACTGAATTATAGAGGCTCAGGAGTATATCTGCTAGGGCAGTTTCAGACCCCTGCCCCAAAATACTTTTTCAGTGTTTCCCTATTTGTGCATTTTTAAAGTAAAATATTGAGTGTCATCTTGACTCTCCAAGGAGGTGGGAGAGACCTTATTGATATTTTTATTGGTTTTTATATTTATTATTGATATTTAAATTAATTTAGGTGAAAATGATATCTTGATGTTGAAACTTCCTAACAATGAACAAGGGATGTATGTCTTTCCATTGGATCAAATATATACGTTTGTGTCTTTTTATATTGTTTTAAATGTTTTATTATATTTACTCCTAAATAGTTTTGTCTTTGGTAGTATAGAAAATGTTTTGTAGTGTTTGTTGACTGTACACATTAAATTCCACTGTAAAGGTGGTGTTTTTAATGTACATTTTAAAATAAATTAGTGGAGAACAAGAACTGTCTTTGGCATTTGGGAGCACAACTAAAAGTTAAGACACAATAAAGCCACTGAAGGGTTCATGCAGATCAGAACATGAAAATTGCCCACCTCCTATATGGCATAAATTAATGGGTCTCAAAATGATAGTGTGCATCAACTCTTTCAGGAAGATTGTTTATGTCTGGCATGAGAACAAAACATGTTAACCTGCACCCTCAGGTGATCTGAATACAGGGGGTCAGTGGGTAATGCTGGCATAATAAATTAAGATAATCTAAGTTAAATATTGTGGCAAATCTTGTATTTCCCTAACAATTGTATTCTTCATCCTAACAGAACTTTGACATTCTTTTTAAAAAAACATTATTTTCATTTTATTATTATTTATTTTCATTCTATTAGAAATAGGGGGAAGAGGAGAAAGGGGAGGGAGGAGAGGAGGGGGGAGGGGGAAGAGAGGGAGGTGTGAGGAGGAGGGGGAGAGGAAGGTAGAAGAGAGGAGGGTGAGAGAGGGGAGGGAGGAGGAGGAGAGAGGAGAAGGAGGGCAAGAGGAGACAAGAGAGGGAGAGGGGAGAGGGAGGGAGAGGAAGAGGAGGAGGGGAAAGGGAGGGAGAAGGGGTAGAGGAGAGAGGGAAGAAAGAAAGAAAAATATGAATATCTTCTCCACTGGCTCACTACCCAAGTGGGGCTAGGCAAGGCTGAAGCTGTGAACTGAAAAGAGGGAGGGAGGGGGGAGAGGGAGAGGGAGGAGGAGGGAGAAAGGGGAGAAGGAGGGGGATGGGAAGGGGAAAGAAAGAGGGCGAGGGGGAGAGGGGAGAGAGAGGGAGGGGCAGCAGATGGGGAGAGGAGAGAGGGAAGAAAGAAAAAAAGAAAGAAAAACATGAGTGTCTTCTCCACTGGCTCACTCCCCAAGTGGGGCTAGGCAAGGTTGAAGCCGTGAACTGGGAACTCAGTCTGGGTCTCTCATATAGGTGGCGTGGACCGAACTAGTTGAGCCATCACCTGCTGCCTCCCAGGTTGAGTACTAGCAGGAAGCCGACTTGGAAGCAAAGCTGGGACTCAAACTTAGGCACTCCAATACCGGATGTAAGCATCCCAAGTAGTAGTTGTTGTTTTTTTGTTTTTCTTTTTTTTTTTGGACAGGCAGAGTGGACAGTGAGAGAGACAGAGAGAAAGGTCTTCCTTTGCCGTTGGTTCACCCTCCAATGGCCGCTGCTGCGGCCGGCACACCGCACTGATCCGATGGCAGGAGCCAGGTACTTATCCTGGTCTCCCATGGGGTGCAGGGCCCAAGCACCTGGGCCATCCTCCACTGCACTCCCTGGCCACAGCAGAGAGCTGGCCTGGAAGAGGGGCAACCGGGACAGAATCCGGTGCCCTGACCGGGACTAGAACCCGGTGTGCCGGCGCCACAAGGCGGAGGATTAGCCTAGTGAGCTGCGGCGCCGGCCCCAAGTAGCATCTTAAGTACTGTGCCAAACACACCCAGGAATCTCAACACTCGTACAGGTGCACATAGATAGATGACTCAGTTCAAAGACTAGGTTGGCCATGCGACCCACAAGTCATAGTATGGGGGCATTTAAATGAAAGTTTTTTGAATTGGAAAGATTCAGTTTGCACCTTTTCCGCACTAGAAAAAATTTTTCTATAGAGTAGAATCATATTCACTTCTATTGGTTATCTGCTACACACAGATACACAATTTCTCACACAATGAAGGTTGCAAAAACCCCACAGAATCAGGGGCTTACAGGGCCAGCACTGTGGCATTGCAAGTTAAACCACTGCCTACAATACCAGCATCCCATATGGGCACCAGTTCCTGGCTGCTTTACTTCTGACCCAGCTCCCTGCTAATGCACTTGGAAAAGCAGCTGAAGATTGCTCAAGTCTCTGGACACTTGCATCCACCTGGAAACCCTGAATGAAGCTCCTGGCTCCTGGCTTCAGCCTGGGGAGTGAACCAGAGGATAGAAGACCACTCCCTCTTTATGTTAACTCTTTCAAATAAGTAATTTCTTTTTTAAATCAGTGCTTACACACTATTTAGTTTTAGTTTTCTGTTTTAAGATTTGTTTATTTTGAAAGGCAGAGTTAAAGACATCAAGAGATCTTGCATCTGCTGACTCACTCCCCAGACACCCAGGCCGAAGCCAAGAGCCAGGAACTTCATCTGGGTCTCCTACATAAGTGTCAAGAGCCCAAATATTTGGACTATCTTCTGTTGTTTTTCTCAGGCCATTAGCAGAGAACTGGATCAGAAGTGGAATAGCCAGGACAGAAACTGGTGCCTATTGGGATGCCCAC